GGTGCAAGAGGGAAGAGATATGGGGATATATGTACATGTATAACTGATTCACTTTGTTATAAAGCAGAAACTAACACACTGTTGTAAACCAGTTATACTCCAATAAAGATGTTAAAAAAAAACGAAAAAATTCAAATAAAAAGTCATCTCATACGTGTCACTTCTTGCAGGAGCTTAATATAATTTAATAAATCATATAATAAGTTTCTACAAAAGACACAAGCTCACACTTCCTTATTTTCAGTGGAAATTTTTGAAGAGAAAACATTAGTTTAATATCATAAAAATGATTTTTCACATATTTTTGGTACCATTTCTCTTCATGTTCACATCTAAATTCTACTTAATTTTAATTTTAGGATAGTAGTTTATATCTGAATTGAAAAATTTTCTTTTTCTGTATGTAGAGACTTCTTTTAAAACTGTTTGGGAAATATAACCAATTCAGTTTATTAAGCTGAACAGCATACATTGAACTTTTAATATATCAATAAAGAATAGACTTAATAAGTCAGTAGCATTTCTATACAGTAAATTTCTGAAAAAGTAATAAGGAAATCAATCTCATTTACAATAGCAGCAAAAACAGTAAAACACTTAGGAATAAATTCCACTAAAGAGGTTAAAGTACTCTATATACTATTAGATATTGATGAAAGAAAGTGAAGTAAAAACATATAATGGTAAAGTAAAAACAAATAATGGAAAAGTATCCCATATTCATGGATTGGAAGAATAAATATTGTTAAAATGTCAATACTGCCATCTACAGATTCAATACAATCCCTATCAAGATTTCAATGGCCTTTTTTACAGAGGTGGAAAAAGCACTCCTGAAATTTATATAGAATCACAAAATACCCCAAACAGCCAAAGAAATACAGAGAAAGAAGAACAAATAAGGAGGCAAGCTAAACTATAAAGCTATAGTAATCAAAATAGTATAGTACTGGCATAAAAACAGACAATAGACAAAAGAAACAGAATTGAGAGCCCAGAAATAAGACCAAGCATATATAGCCAACTAATATTTGACAAGGGAGCTGAGAATACTTAATGGAGAAAAGAAGTTCTTTTCAATAAATTGTTCTGGGATAGCTGGATACTCACATGTAAAAGAATGAAACTGGACCCATATCTTAACACCACACACAAAAATTAAATAAAATGAATTAAGGACTTAAATGTAAGATCTGAAATCATGAAAATTCTAGAAGGAAACATAGGAATAAAAATCCTTTACATGGGTCTTGATAATGATTTTTTGGACATGACATCTAATGCACAAGCAACAAAAATCAAAAATAAATAAGTGGGACTACATCAAACTAAAAAACATCTGCACAGCAAAAGAATCCACCAACAAACTATAACAAACTATAGAATGGGAAAAATTATTTGCAAACTATATATCTGAAACAGGGTGGATATCCAAAATAAAGAAAGAACTCATACAACTCAATTTAAAAAAAGTTAATAAATGGGCAATGGACCTGATAAACATTTCTCCAAAGAAGATGTACAAAGCCAACAGATACATGGAAAGATGCTCAACATCACTAACCATCAGGAATACGCAAATCAAAACCATGAGAAGTTATCCCACACCTATTAGAATGACTAGTGTCAAAAAGACAACAAATATCAAGTGTTGGTGAGGATATGGAGAAAAGGGGACCCTGTGCACAGATGATGGGATTGTAAGACGGTGCAGCCACTATGGAGAACACTATGGAAGTTCCTCAAAAAATTAAAAAGAGAACTACCATATATATGATCCAACAATTCTGCTTCTGGGAATATATACAAAGGAAACAAAAACACTAACTTGAAAATATATCTGTACCCCTAGGTCACAGAAGTATTATTTACAACAGCCAAGATATGGAAACAACCTAAGTGTTCATCTATGGATTAATGGATAAAGAAGTTGAGGCATATAAATGTATGTGTGTGTGTGTGTGTGTGTGTGTGTGTGTGTGTGTGTACACACATATATAGACACACACACACGTATCCCATGGAATATTATTTAGCCATAAAAAATGAAGACATTTCACCATTTGTGACCACATGGATGGAACCTAAAGGCATTATGCTAAGTGAAATAAGTCAGAGAAAGACAAATACTGTATGAGCTCACTTTTATGTGAAATCTTAAAAACAACAACTCATTTTTAAAAAAGAGAGGAAGATGGTCAAAAGGTACAAACTTCTAGTGACGAGATAAATAAGTGCTAGGGATGTAATGTACAACATGATGACTCTAGCTAACACTGACCTATGATTTATAGGAAAGTTGTTTAGAGAGTAAATTTTTTTTTTTTTTTTTTTGCAGTATGCAGGCCTCTCACTGTTGTGGCCTCTCCGTTGCGGAGCACAGGCTCCGGACGCACAGGCTCAGCGGCCATGGCTCACGGGCCCAGACGCTCCGTGGCATGAGGTATCTTCCCGGACCAGGGCACGAACCCGTGTCCCCTGCATCGGCAGGCGGACTGTCAACCACTGCGCCACCAGGGAAGTCCAATTCCTTTTTTAAAAAAATAAATTTATTTATTTTTGGCTGCACTGGATCTTCGTTGCTGCGTGCGGTCTTTCTCTAGTTGCTGTGAGTGTGGGTGACTTTGTTGCAGTGTGCAGGCTTCTCATTGTGGTGGCTTCTCTTGTTGCAGAGCACAGGCTCTAGGCACGCAGGCTCAGTAGTTGTGGCTCACGGGCTCTAGAGCGCAGGCTCAGTAGTTGCGGTGCATGGGCTTAGTTGCTGCGTGGCATGTGGGATTTTCCTGGACCAGGGCTCGAACCCGTGTCCCCTGCGTTGGCAGGCGGATTCTTAACCACTGTACCACCAGGGAAGTCCCAGAGTGTAAATTCTTTAAGTTCTCATCTCAAGGAGAAATTTTTTTTCCTGTTTTCTTTTTTCTTTCTTTTCTTTATATTGTATCTATATGAGAAGATGACGTTAGCCAAGCCTATTTTGTTAATCATTTCACAATATATGTAAATCAAACCTCATGCTCTACATCTTAAACGTATATAGTGATGTATGCCAATTATTTCTCAATACAGTAAAAGACAAAAAACAAACAAACAAAAAAGCTTCCAGGTGATTTTGATGCCACTGGTCACACTTTAAAAATACTGACCTAAGTAATATATTTATATGAAAGTAGCTAACAATTGCAATTGCCTTTTTAATAGTCATATCAAACTGTCAACTTACACTGAGTTACTAGTGCATAAAAACCCTAAAACCTTTTTTTGCTGAATCCAGCTGCATCTTCCTTATTCCTTCTCTTGCAGTTCATTACTGTGGCCAAGTACAGAACTCTTTGTATATCCTTGTTAATTTTCATCTTGTTACACTGGCACTTCCTTCTAGTCTGAGGCAATTGTAAATTTTCATTCTGTTACATAATTCACATATCCCATAAATTTGATAAGCACACCTTCTATCTTTATCCAAGTCACAGACCAAAATGTTGTACCACAAGAACCAAAATGTTGTACCACAAGAACCAAAATAAAAGAGTAGAAGCATGATCATGACTGTGTTTTACAAATGCCATCATTCCATCTAGACTATTTTTATCTCAGAGAAATATATTGTCATGTTTTAGACATTATTATTCACATCTAGAAAGATTAAACTAAAAACTGAATTCCTATAATGTATTTGGGTTTAATGCACATAGTAAAATTTTCTTGACATATTACAAGAATTTGACCTCTAATTGAATAATTATCAAAAAATCTGTATTTTAACTTTTAAAATTTCTGCTTAGTACCTTCTGATACAATAAGCAAAACAATTGCATTGTCAAAAAATCCATTTCAAATGAAATTTAATAAACTGGTACAATCCCAATGGCTGCCAAATACTATTTGTCTGGACTGAGATCAGGGAATGAACTGAGAGCTAACACAGGACTCTTTGGAAGTGAAATGGAATACAGATTTCTCTAAAAGTATCTTGAAAGAAAATTTTAAGCATACATTGACTAAAAGAATGAGATACATGATCCTGGATGGGGCACTGGACCCCAAAAGAATATTTCAATAGAGAAATGGTTTGCACTGTGAAATGGAAAGAAATCCAGTTCTTAAGAGATCAATTCCTGCCATTTAGTCTCTCAGTAAAGACTGCCAGAAGTGAACCGGGGGAAAGAAATTTGTGATGAAATGAGAATATTTCATTTCAGTCAGTTCCATTTGAAAAGAGTTTGAAAATTTTAGACCGTATACTAAAAAATAATAGAAACAATTATTTTATGCCAGATCACGTTGACTTTAACTCATCAGCAGTTTTTTATTATACAAACATGGCAAATACAATGTGGAAAAATAAAATACCTGTACTTGGGAAAGCATGAAATATAAACACCGGTGCAATCATTAGTTTTTGATACACAGTTCCACCTATCAGTGAAGGTTTATTATTGCCATCCCCACCTGAGATGGACTGATGCACATTCCATGCCGGGTACTTGCAAATTCTCTCTCTCATAACAAGCGCTTTATATATCAATAACGAAATTACTGGTCTCACATCTAGTTCCTCCTTTCTCGTTGGTAGTCAATTCTCCCTCCAAGTGCTACACCTAAAGGAGAAGTAAAGGAAGGCTGCTGGTCAATTTCCACATTGGTTGGGGCATCCTCTTTACCTACAGCAGTGGTGCCCAGCCCCAGTGGTTGTTAAATAATTTGACTATCACCCTTGAACCAAACACCCTCTATTTTCTTATGACATAAAATATCAGTGCAATTTCAAAAGATAAAATATGTACACAATGTTATTCAACATTTTACATTATGCTACAAATATGTACAATCTCAATAATAAATTAAGAATAAATGAATAAAATAAGTCCTTCGTTCATAGACACCATGGTACTCAATGCCATTGTTTGGCCTTCATTTCTGTGAGTTCATCTGATCAAAGATCCTGATCATCCTCTTGCCAGAAGAATTTATTTTGGCAGCATATTTGAAATGCCGAGTGTTTCGCTGTTGCCTCTCAGCAGTGGGGAGATGTTTGTTAATAATAGACGTGCTGAAAAGGATTAGCTGCAATCAAGAAGGGTTGATGAACATTTGCACAATATGTACAAAACTCTTCAAAAATTCTTTAATATGTTTTTCCTCCAGCTCCTCACATTCTTTGCATCCCAATTCAGTTTTATACTGCAAATAAAAAGAAAGGATTAGATTGGAAAGTCTAAAATATGCCTTTCCTGCAAATATCATATCATTTGAACCATATGGTGAAGTCTTGAGACATAAATTCGTTGGTAGATTAATTATCATATTAGGAAGAACTATGGGTGATTTGATAAGGGCTGATTTTTCCTAGAGTGAATTAAGGACAATGAAAAAAAAATTGAAAAAAAAAAATCTATCGAACCATGAACTTCTGTTAGAGTCCTTCAATAGTTTCTGGTCATCTACCCCAGCATGAAGTCCATGCTTCACTGCATGGCATGCAGGCCCTCCTTGAGCGGTTCCTTACCTATTTCTTTCACGTTTTCCACAGCTCAAAGATATGCCCTAGGAACACTGGGCTCATGCCTTTAGCTCCCATACATACATTAGGCCATTAGGTGCCTCGCTATCTTTGCTTTTCTCTCTGCCTGTTCCACACTTTTATTTTAGCTACTACCACTCACACTTAAGATCATTCAGGCGCTGTTTCCATTAGGAAGGCTTTTCTGAACCTGGGAGCTCCTGGGGCTGCACTAAATGTCCCTTCTCTACATTCTCAGAACCTCTTGTTTAGACTCTGTCTTATATCACATCATGTATTCTATTGATATTATGGAGCTTTATGCTTCTCATACCACTATTCTCTAGGCTTTTCCAGGAAGGCAAGGCTATGTATTTTTGCTCCCCTAGCATTTAGCATAGGGCCTGGCACATAATATTCACCCAATTATTATCGGTCGAATTCAACTATTTCAATGAATACCACAAATTATAGTAATTTAAACAGTTTCAGAGAGACCTTCAAGATGGCGGAGGAGTAAGACGTGGAGATCACCTTCCTCCCCACAAATACATCAGAAATACATCTACATGTGGAACAACTCCTACAGAACACCTACTGAACGCTGGCAGAAGACCTCAGACCTCCCCAAGGGCAAGAAACTCCCCACGTACCTGGGTAGGGCAAAAGAAAAAGCAGAGACAAAAGAATAGGGATGGCACCTGCACCTCTGGGAAGGAGCTCTGAAGGAGGAAAAGTTTCCAAACACCAGGAAGTCCCTTACTGGCGGAAATGGGGGGAGGCAGGGGGGAAGTATCGGAGCCAAGGACGAGAGCACAGCAACAGGGGTGCAGAGGGCAAAGCGGAGAGATTGCCACACAGAGGATCGGTGCCGACCAGCACTCACCAGCCCGAGAGGCTTGTCTGCTCCCCTGCCGGGGCGGGTGGGGGCTGGAAGCTGAGGCTCCAGCATCGGAGGTCAGACCCCAGGGAGAGGACTGGGGTTGGCTGCGTGAACACAGCCTGAAGGGGGCTAGTGCACCACAGCTAGCTGGGAGGGAGCCCGGGAAAACGTCTGGAACTGCCTAAGAGGCAAGAGACCATTGTTTTGGGGTGCGCGAGGAAAGGGGATTCAGAGCACTGCCTAAACAAGCTCCAGAGATGGGTGCGAGCCGTGGCTATCAGTGCAGACACCAGAGATAGGCATGAGACGTTAAGGCTGCTGCTGCAGCCACCAAGAAGCCTGTGTGTGAGCACAGGTCACTATCCACACCTCCCTTCCCGGGAGCCTGTGCAGCCCGCCACTGCCAGGGTCCCGTCATCCAGGGACAGCTTCCCCGGGAGAACACATGGCCCACCTCAGGCTGTTACAACGTCACGCTGGCCTCTGCCACTGCAGGCTCACCCCGCATTCCGTACCCCTCCCTCCCCTCGGCCTGAGTGAGCCAGAGCCCACTAATCAGCTGCTCCTTTAACCCCACCCTGTCTGAGCAAAGAACTGACACCCTCAGGAGACCTACAGGAAGGGGCAGGGCCAAATCAAAGCTGAACCCCAGGAGCTGTGCGAACAAAGAAGATAAAGGGAAATCTCTCCCAGCAACCTCAGGAACAGTGGATTAAACCTCCACAATCACCTTGATGTATGCTGCATCTCTGGAATACCTGAATAGACAACAAATCATCCCCAAATTGAGGTGGTGGATGTTGGGCAACTGTAGACTTGTGGTTTGCTTTCTGCATCTAATTTGTTTCTAGTTTTACATTTATCTTAGTTTGGTATTTAGAGTTTATTATCATTGGTACATTTGTTTATTGATTTGGTTGCTCTCTTCCTTTTTTTAAAATATATATATATATATATATATATATATATATATATATGTTTTTCCCTTTTTGTGTGTGTGTATGTGTATGTTTCTTTGTGTGATTTTGTCTGTATACTTTTGCTTTTACCATTTGTCCTAGGGTTCTGTCTCTCCATTTTCTTTTGTTTTTTTGGGGTTTTTTTAGTATAGTTTTTAGTGCTTGTTGGTGGATTTGTTTTTTGGTTTGGAACCTCTCTTCTTTCTTTCTTTCTTTTTTAAATTAGTTTTCAATTTTTTAATTTAAAAATTTATTTTTTATTTTAATAACTTTTTAGTTTATTTTACTTTTTCTTGCTCTCTTTCTTTTTTTCTCCCTCTTCTTCTGAGCCGTGTGGCTGACAGGGTCTTCATGCTCCAGCCAGGTGTCAGGCCTGTGCCTCTGAGGTGGGAGGGCCGAGTTCAGGACACTGGTCCACCAAACACCTCCTAGCTCCATGTAATATCAAACAGTGAAAGCTCTCCAAGAGATCTCCATCTGCACAATAAGACCCAGCTCCACTCAATGACCAGCAAACTACATTGCTGGACACCCTATGCCAAACAAATAGCAAGACAGGAACACAACCCCACCCATTAGCAGAGAGGCTGCCTAAAATAATAATAAGGTCACAGACAACCCAAAACACACCACCGGGTGCTGTCCTGCCCACAAGAAAGACAAGATTCAGCCTCATCCACCAGAACCCAGGCACTAGTCCCCTCCACCAGGAAGCCTACACAACCCACTGAATCAATTTTATGAACTGGGAACAGACACCAAAAACAATGGGAACTACAAACCTGGAGCCTGCGAAAAGGAGACCTCCAAGCACAGTAACTTAAGCAAAATGAGAAGACAGAGAAACACACAGCAGATGAAGGAGCAAGATAAAAACCCACCAGACCAAACAAATGAAGAGGAAAGAAGCAGTCTACCTGAAAAAGAATTTAGAGTAATGATAGTAAATATGATCCAAAATCTTGGAAATAGAATGGAGAAAATACAAGAAATGTTTAACAAGGACCTAGAAGAACTAAAGAGCAAACAATGATGAACAACACAATAAATGAAATTCAAAATTCTCTAGAAGGAATCAATAGCAGAATAGCTGAGGCAGAAGAACAGATAAGTGACCTGGAAGATAAAATAGTGAAAATAACTACCACAGAGCAGACTAAAGAAAAAAAGAATGAAAAGAATTGAGGACAGTGTCAGAGACCTCTGGGACAGCATTAAATGCACCAACATTTGAATTATAGGGGTCCCAGAAGAAGAAGAGAAAAAGACAGGGACTGAGAAAGTATTTGAAGAGATTATAGTTGAAAACTTCCCTAATATGGAAAAGGAAATAGTTAATCAAGTCCAAGAAGCACAGAGTCCCATACAGGATAAATCCAAGGAGAAACATGCCAAGACACATATTAATCAAACTTTCTAAAATTAAATACAAAGAAAAAATATTAAAAGCAGCAAGGGAAAAACAGCAAATAACATAAAAGGGAATCCCCATAAGGTTAACAGCTGGTCTTTCAGCAGAAACTCTGCAAGCTAGGAGGGAGTGGCAGGACATATTTAAAGTGATGAAAGGAAAAAACCTACAACCAAGATTAATCTATGCAGCAAGGATCTCATTCAGATTTGATGGAGAAATTAAAACCTTTAGAGAGTAAAAAGCTAAGAGAATTCAGCACCACCAAACCAGCTTTACAACAAATGCTAAAGGAACTTCTTTAGGCAGGAGACACAAGAGAAGGAAAAGACCTACAGTAACAAACCCAAAATAATTAAGAAAATGGTAATAGGGACACAGATATCGATAACTACCTTAAATTTAAATGGATTAAATGCTCCAACCAAAAGACACAGACTGGCTACAAAATGGATACAAAAAGAAGACCTGTATATATGCTGTCTACAAGAGACCACTGCAGACCTAGGGACACATACAGACTGAAAGTGAGGGGATGGAAAAAGATATTCCATGCAAATGGAAATCAAAAGAAAGAGGGAGTAGCAATTCTCATATCAGACAAAATAGACTATAAAATAAAGACTATTAAAAGAGACAAAGAAGGACACTACATAATGATCAAGGGATCAATCCAAGAAGAAGATATAACAACTGTAAATATTTATGCACCCAACACAGGAGCACCGCAATACATAAGGCAAATGCTAACAGCCATAAAAGGGGAAACAGACAGTAACACAGTAACACAATCATAGTAGGGGACGTTAACACCTCACTTTCACCAATGGACAGATCATCCAAAATGAAAATAAATAAGGAAACACAAGCTTTAAATGATACATTAAGCAAGATGGACTTAATTGATATTTATAGGACATTCCATCCAAAAACAACAGAATACACTTTATTCCAAGTGTTCATGGAACATTCTCCAGGATAGATCGTATCTTGGGTCACAAATCAAGCCTTGGTAAATTTAAGAAAATGGAAATCGTATCAAGTATCTTTTCCAGCGACAACACTGTGAGACTTAATGTCAACTATAGGAAAAAAACTGTAAAAAACACAAACAAATGGAGGCTAAAAAATACACTACTAAATAACCAAAAGATCACTGTAGAACTCAAAGAGGAAATAAAAAAACCTAGAAACAAATGACAACGAAAACAAAACGACCCAAAACTGATGGGATGCAGCAAAAGCGGCTCTAAGAGGGAGGTTTATAGCAATACAATCCTACCTCAAAGAACAAGAAAAATCTCAAAAAAACAACCTAGCCTTACACCTAAAGCAATTAGAAAGAAGAACAAAAAAACCCAAAGTTATCAGAAGGAAAGAAATCATAAAGATCAGATCAGAAATAAATGAAAAAGAAATGAAGGAAACAATAGCAAAGATCAATAAAACTAAAAGCTGGTTCTTTGAGAAGATAAACAAAATTGATAAATCATTAGCCAGACTCATCAAAAAAGAAAGGGATAAGACTCAAACCAATAGAATTAGAAATGAAAAAGGAGAAGTAACAGCTGACACTGCAGAAATACGAAGGGTCATGAGAGATTACTACTAGCAACTATGTGCCAACAACATGGACAATGTGGAAGAAATAGACAAATTCTTAGAAAAGCACAACCTTCTGAGACTGAATCAGTAAGAAATAGAAAACATAAACAGATCAATCCCAAGAATTGAAATTGAAACTGTGATTAAATATCTTCCAACAAACAAACGCTCAGGACCAGATGGCTTCATAGGCAAATTCTGTCAAACATTTAGAGAAGAGCTAACACCTATGCATCTCAAACTCCTCCAAAATATAGCAGAGGGAGGAACACTCCCAGACTCATTCTATGAGGCCACCATCACCCTGATACCAAAACCAGACAAAGATGTCACAAAGAAAGAAAACTACAGGCCAATATCACTGATGAACATAGATGCAAAAATCCTCAACCAGATACTAGCAAACAGAATCCAATAGCACATTAAAAGGATCATACACCATGATCAAGTGGGGTTTATCCCAGGAATGCAAGGATTCTTCAACACACGCAAATCAATCAATGTGATACACCATATTAACAAACTGAAGGTGAAAAACCATATGGTCATCTCAATAGATGCAGAGAAAGCTTTCGACCAAATTCAACACCCATTTATGATAAAAACCCTCCAGAAAGTAGGCATAGAGGAAAGTTACCTCAACATAATAAAGGCCATATATGACAAACCCACAGCCAACATTGTTCTTAATGGTGAAAAACTGAAACCGTTTCCTCTAAGATCAGGAACAAGACAAGGCTGTCCACTCTCACCACTATTATTCAACACTGTTTTGGAAGTTTTAGCCACAGCAATCAGAGTAGAAAAAGAAATAAAAGGAATCCAAATAAGAAAAGAAGAAGCAAAGCTGTCACTGTTTGCAGATGGCATGATACTATACATAGAGAATCCTAAAGATGCTACCAGAAAACCACTAGAGCTAATCAATGAATCTGGTAAAGTAGCAGGATACAAAATTAATGCACAGAAATCTCTTGCATTCCTATACAGTAATGGTGAAAAATCTGAAAGAGAAATTAAGGAAACACACCCATTTACCATTGAAATAGAAAGAATAAAATACCTAGGAATAAACCTACCTAAGGAGACAAAAGACCTGTATCCAGAAAACTATGAGGAAAGAAATTAAACATGATCCAAACAGATGGAGAGATATACCGTGTCCTTGGACTGGAAGAATCAACATTGAGAAAATGACTATACTACCCAAAGCAATCTACAGATTCAATGCCTATCAAACTACCAATGGCATTTTTCACAGAACTAGAACAAAAAATTTCCCTATTTGTTTAGAATCACAAAAGATCCCAAATAGCCAAAACAATCTAGAGAAAGAAAAACAGAGCTGGAGGAATCAGGCTCCCGGACATCAGACTATACTACAAAGCTACAGTAATCAAGACAGTATGGTACTTGCACAAAAACAGAAATATAGATCAATGGAATAGGATAGAAAGCCCGGAGATAAACCCACAAACATATGGTCACCCTATTTTTGATCAAGGAGGCAAGAATATACAATGGAGAAAAGACATTATCTTCAATAAGTGGTGCTGGGAAAACTGGACAGCTAGAGGAAAGCATAGGCATAACACTCTATGACATAAGTCACAGCAAGATCGTTTTTGATCCACCTCCTAGAGAAATGCAAATAAAAACAAAAATAACCAAATGGGACCTAATGAAACTTAAAAGCTTTTGCACAGCAAAGGAAAACATAAACAAGATGAAAAGACAACCTTCAGAATGGGAAAAATATTTGCAAATGAAGCAACTGACAAAGGATTAATCTCCAAAATTTACAAGCAGCTGATGCTGTTCAATATCAAAAAGACAATCAATCCAATCCAAAAATGGGCAGAAGACCTAAATAGACATTTCTCCAAAGAAAATGTACAGATTGCCAACAAACACATGAAAGGATGCTCAATATCACTAATTATTAGAGAAATGCAAATCAAAACTGCAATGAGGTATCACCTCACACCAGTCATTATGGCCATCATCAAAAAATCTCCAAACAATAAATGCTGGAGAGGGTGTGGAAAAAAGGGAACCCTCTTGCACTGTTGGTGGGGATGTACATTTATACAGCCGCTATGGAGAACAGTATGGAAGTTCCGTAAAAAACAGAACTACCATATGACCCAGCAATCCCACTACTGGGCATATACCCTGAGAAAACCATAATTCAAAAGGAGTCATGTACCACAATGTTCATTGCAGCACTATTTACAATAGCCAGGACATGGAAGCAACCTAAGTGTCCATCGACAGATGAATGGATAAAGAAGATGTGGCTCACATATACAATGCAATATTACTCAGCCATAAAAAGAAACGAAACTGAGTTATTTGCAGTGAGGTAGATGGACCTAGAGTCTGTCATACAGAGTGAAGTAAGTCAGAAAGAGAAAAACAAATACCATATGCTAACACATATACATGGAATCTAAAAAAAAAAAAAGGTTCTGAAGAACCTAGGGGCAGGGCAGGAATAAAGACACAGATGTAGAGAATGGACTGGAGGACACGGGGATTGGGAAGGGTAAGCTGGGATGAAGTGAGAGAGTGGCCAAATGCAAAATAGATCGCTAGTGGGAAGCAGCCGCATAGCACAGGGGGATCAGCTAGGTGCTTTGTGACCACCTAGAGGGGTGGGATAGGGAGAATGGGAGGTTGATGCAAGAGGGAGGAGATATGGAGATATATGTTTATGTATAGCTGATTCACTTTGTTTTAAAGCAGAAACTAACACACCATTGTAAAGCAATTATACTCCAATAAAGGTGTTGAAAAAAATAAGAAATAAAAAAATAAACAGTTTCATGAATAACTAAAATATTGCAAATGTAACAATTAAACTTTTCAGGGATCATCTGAACCATGAAAGCTGTACCAGCAAAATTCAAAATTAGATTTTCCATCCATTAAGCATTTAAAATTCAGATTCACCAGTGTTTATCAAGCACATACTCTATGCTAGGTGCTATCATATTCCATATAATGCTGTCCTATTTGATCCTGAAAATAATTATGTCAGATAGGAAGGTAGAGATATTAAATGACTCATCTCATTTGACATAATCAATGAAATGCTCTGCATTTAGGTCTTCTGAGTGTGCAGTCCGGCCACACTATGTCATGATGAGGGTGACTATAAAAATGCACATTAAAGTGTTCCCCATTGACACTGCTGTGAGTTATCTGCTGCATGGGTCAGTCTTTTGACCAATAACAGAGAGATAACATATCACAAGAGTATTTTAAACATTCATATATTCAATTCAGAAATAAATCGAGAATCTAGTACATGCCAAGCATTGTTCTGGGAGTTGGGATACAGCACGAAAACAAACAAACAAAAAACCCTCCCCTTCTGAAGCTGCCATTCTAATAGGAAGAAACAGACAATATCCATCAACTAAGATATGTAGTATTTAAGATAGAGGGACATACAGAGAAGGCGGTGGGGCGTGCTGAGGCGGGGGAGTGGCTGTGGTTATAAAGAGGTAACATCACTGACACAGTGACATTGAAGCACCTGGCACTTTTAGGGAAAACCCAAGGTGTCCAGCCACACTAGCTCGGGGCGTCTGCTCTTTCAGTTGCCTCTGCATGAACATACTTTCCCCGGCATCCTTAAAGCTCTTTCCGTCTCACGTCTTTGCCAAATGTCAGCTGAGTAGGTAAACCTTCTCTAGATTAGATTCCCAGTTGCCTTCCCTGCCTCTTTTTTTTTTGCCCTTCCACTTAATAAACACCTGACTTATTATTCATTTGCTTATTGATTGATTTCTGTATGCTTCTTCCTACCGTAAGAGCAGGAACTATGTGTGTTCTTTCACTTCTGTTATCTTGAGGGCCTACAATGGGGCCCAAAAAGTATTTGTGAAATGAACAAATTATGATTATACCTTTTTGGTTTATAAAACTTTTTCTAATCACTTTGCTTTGGCCACTAGTGTTTTGCCCTGAAAGACATAATCCTTTGTAGGGCCTTTGCATAGCCAGTGCCCCAGAGGGTCCCTGGTATTTGCTCTCCTGGAGGCCTATGTTGCTCCTGTTGCCTGGGATGGCCCAAATTATACTCCAATTATTAATATTTTTATTATTATCCTTTTGCAGCATTTATTCTTTGAGTAGATAAGAAGGCAGACTCTGGAGTGAAACTGCTCAGGGACTCCTGGCTCCCCATTTTACTAGCTGTGTGAATTGGAGGAAGAGATTCAAGCCCCCAGAGCCCCAAGTCCTTCAACCTTAAACAGAAATAGTGATAACTATCTCACAGATTGATTGTGAGAATTGAGCGAATTACCACCTAACCCTTGAAGAACAGTATCTGGCACAGAGTAATAACCCAAGTAAATGTGGATTACTACTATGGATGCTCATCAATTATGTAATTAGATTAATGTCTATCCACTGCACCTAGTGATCAACACCTTGAGGTCAGTGACCTGACTGTCTGGTTCACCCTTGTCATTCCAGCACTAAAGCACACGGCCTAGAGCATGCAGTCAATGTTTGTTGAATGAATAAATCAATAAACAGTGTAGGAGTGTGTGCACACCAGTGATGGTGCTGCTTCTGGATGCCACTTCACTGGAATTAACTCACTTTCCCAAGTGCCCCTTCAGAGGGTCTCCTTGTCCATTACATCCCATCCAGCTAATGATTTCTCCCAATCAAGCCAAGAGCATCCAATGTAGCTCTGCATAACTATTGGATAACTCACCTCAATGGAAGATAAGCTGCTGTTTGCTAGGATGATAAGGTTTTCTACTGTATCGTTAATGTCTGAATTTCTGGACTCATGCAAAATAACATGTAACTCCAGGAGAAAGCATTTCATCACTGTTACTTTGCAACTGGGCTAAAAGAGATACAAAGATCCATTTTGAAAAAGAAAAAGAAAGACAATTATTTCCCCATTATTCAGTTTCACACAGATGTAATTTTGATATTTTAAAAAGTCAATCCAGCTATTTTATAAAGAAACACAATACCCCTAAAAAGTTTTACATAGGAAGCAGCTTGATTTTTTTCTTCTCTTTTGGCTTTGAAATCAAAACCAAAACAAACTGAGAACAAAACAGGAAGGATGGTGATACCGTATAGAAGAAAGAACATAAAACTAGAAAACGTGGAAATAATAGGCCACTTTTTCCTCACTAAGCACATTTCCTCTGTGTAAAGGGCAGATAATACTGACCTGAGACTCTCAGAACATTAATAGAGATGGTGCATATGGAAGAATTTCTTAGAATCAGATCATATTGTTAACATTTTAAACAGTGGTGGCCGCTAATCATACTATTCCTGCAAGTTCCAAAGTTCCAGAGGCAGACGTGATTCCAAGAAATTTCTTAGAAAAATCAAAGCAGGTGTATGGTCTATTCACAGGCTGGTCATATCAGAAAGGTACCTTTCAGGTCCCACAAAAATACATTTCCCAAGAGGATTACTTTAACAAAAACTTAAACTTCAAACAAAAGAAGCATTTAATGAGCATGTGGGAATTTGACCATGACGTGTCTGATTTCCTGTTCTCAATGCCATGCACAGTGCCTGGGACTCTGCAGGCACTTAACAGGTGCTTACGGAAGGAAGGAAGCAAGGAAGGAAGAAGGAAGGAAGCAAGGAAGGATGACAGCCACATGCCTGGGACTGGCAATATTCCTTATTCCCCCACAGCAGCTTCTCCGGATTGAAAGGGTAATAAATGCTGTCACCATGACGATAATAAACTAAATAATAAATAAAATAAATAATAAAACTGAGGTTCAGAAATATTTAGTGTCTTCCAAGGTAACAAAGCTTGGAAGTGGCTGAGTCAGGGTTTAAATCTAAATTTCAATCTCAACTACTTTCTACAACCCACGGGTTGCGAAGTTAGTTATCGTCTTACAAAAAAAGCAATCTCAGGATTCGGAGTGCTGGTGGTTAGCTGACTGCTTTCTACTTTGAAGAAAATGCAAAGTAAAGTGGAAAACATGCTGAAGCCAAAAGCGGCAAACAATTTCTAGCACAGCAGCACTATCTAAGTGAATGATGGATATCTGTTCTTTCTAGTTTCTGGCTGTGGCTTCTTTCCAATGCTTAGAAAGTCTTGATAGGGCAAAACCTTCTATTGCAGAGAAATTCTGCTTAAGGAATAATAGAGAGAGGACTCACTGTTCTGAATGCACACAACACAGTTTGTTTTTCACGAAGTGAAGATGTCAGGGATTTGTTTCTTGGTTTTTTGTAGCCAATTCAGAGGGAAAGGAATAGCAACTCAACTGAAATCCTATATGACTAAGGCGACGTCAGCAGCATATTAATGAAACAAGTTCGAGATCAGTTTTGAATTCTGATAGACTTTGTGGGTTGTGTTTGGTTTTTTTCTCACGTAGAGAGTAACCAGTCAGAATCCCTTTTTGACAACTGTAGAGATTCGGGCAAAATGTAGAGCATGAATGTATTTAAACAATTTGTAAAAAATATGATTAAAAGTGATAATATGCTACAGCACTGGAAACAACTGATATATTGGATACTTTTAAATTGCCCGAGTTAACTTGATTCTTGTATTTAACTGCATCACGATTTAATTGCATCACAGAAATATATACTATATTTTGTTTGACATCGATGGGAAAAGTTTATGTTTTGATTCAGCAATGATGCTACAATGAACAGCATCTATGTAAAAGTTAGATTTTAAAACTATACACAGTCCAGTAAATTTATGAAAATATACTTCTTAGACCTTTGAAAATTGGAAAATATAGCAATATTGAGAACAAACTATACTCACATGAGCATTGCTTTCAGTATATAAGGTGGCATCCATATGTATAGACTGAAATGGAAACAAAATTCGGTAATATGAAAAACTATTCCCGCTTTAGATATAATGAGAACAACCTACTGAAAACACTAAAACTTTTTTCAATGAAATTCTTTATTTTGAGATAATCTTAGATTCATATGAAATTGTAAGAGAAAATACAGGCAAATCCTGTGTGCGCCTTCACCGTTTCTTCCCGTGTTGAGGTCCTGCATAATACAGTACAATAGCACAACCAGGAAATTGACATGGATGCAATCCACCCACTTTGTTCAGATTTCACCAGTTTTATGTGCACTATTGTGTGTGTGCGTGTGTGTGTAGTTCCATGCCATTTTATCAGACGTGTAAATTCATGTAACCACTACCACAGTTAAGATACAGAATCCTCCTGCTACTGTTGTATAGCCACAATCAACTTCCTCCAGACATGCTCCTCCCACCTCCTACCATCCATCTAATCCCCAGCAACCACTTCTCTGCTCTCCATTCCTATGATATCATTTCAAGAATGTTATATAAATGGAATCATACAGCATATAACCTTTTGAAATAGGTTTATTGAAAAACTTAATAGACTTTATTTTTTGAGCAGTCGTAGGTTTACAGAACATGAACAGAAAGTACAGAAAGTTCCCATATGGCCCCTTGGCCTCCTCCCAAGTTTCCCCTATTATTAACATCTCGCACTAGCGTGGTACATCTATTACAATTGATGAGTCAATATTGATACATTTTCAACTAAAGTCCATAGTTTCCATTAGCGTTCACTCTTGGTGTTGTACACCTATAGTTCTTGACAAATGTATAATGACATGCATTGATCATTACAGTATCATACAAAATAGTTCCGCTGCCCTAAAAATCACTTGTGCTCCACTTTCTTATCCTTCCCTTTCCCTTATCCTTCCCTTTCCCTTATCCCCTGTTGTATTGTATCCAGCCTTTTCCAGAGTGTCATATAGTTGGAATCATATAGTATCATATCATATAGTATGTAGCCTGTTTTGATTGGCTTCTTTTATTAGCAATATGCTTTTAAGGTTCCTCCATACCTTTTCATGGCTAAACAGCTTATTTCTTTTTATCACTGAGTAATATTCCATTGTATGGACGAACTACAGTTTGTTTACCTCGCTGGCTTTTTTTCACACAGCATAATACTCTGGAGATCCACACAACTTGTTGTATCAGTAATTTGTTCCTTATTATTGCTCACTATTATTGTTTGATATAATGTACCGAAGCTTAACTGTTGACCTGTTGAAGGACATTTGGGTTCTTTCCAGTTTTTAGCTATTATAAATAAAGTTCTATTAACATTCATATGCATGTTTTTGTGTGAATCCAAGTTTTCACGTCTCTGATATAAATGTCTGAGTGTAACTGTTGGATCATATGGCAAATGCGTGTTTTGTTTTATAAGAAACAGCCAAACTATTTTAGAGTGGCTGTACAATTTTATATTCTCACCAGCAATATATAAATGATCCAGTTTCTCCACATCCTTGCCAGCATTTGGTATTATCAATATTTTTTATTTTAAATATTCATATAGGTGACATGTCATTGAGGCTTTAATTTGCATTCCCTAAATAAAATACAGCCATTTATTGGTACTTTCTCTCCAAAAAAGACTTAGGGTGATTTATAATTTCTTCCTTTCTAATATGCATACTTATTATTTATTTTTCTTGCCTTAGCCTTTTATTTCTTTTTTTCTTGCCTTGCCAATTGAGCTAAAGTTTCAATACTATGTTGAATAAGAGTGGTCAGAAAAGACATCCTTGCCTTGTTCCCAATTTTAGGGGAAAAGCAGTCAGTCCCCATTAAGCCTAATGTCGGCTCTAGGTTTTCTGTACATGCTCTGTAACAAACTGAAGGAGCTTCTCCTTTATTCCTTGTTTGCTGAGAAATGTTTATCATTGAAGAGGTGCTGCAGTTTTAAAATGTCTTTTCCGCATCAACTGATATGACCATATGATTTCCTACTTTAGTCTACTCATATAGTGGATTACATTGATTGATTTTCGAATACTGAACAGGTCTTGCATTTGTTACATTTTGGTAGTCTGTGGTTTTTGAGGAAATTGTCCATTTCCTCCAAATTATCAAATTTACGAGAATCAAGTTGTTCATAGTTTTTCTTTAGCATCCTTTTAATGGTTGTAGGTTCTGTAGTAAGACCCCAATTTCAGTCCTGATACTAATGGTATATGTCATCTCTTTTATCTTTGTCAGGCTTTCTAAAGGTTTATCGACTTTATTGCTTTATTTTCCCAAAGTAAAGAGCTTTATGTTTTGTTGATTTTTGTCTATTGTTTTCCTGATTTCAATTTCCTTCCCTCCTTCCTTTTTATTGCTTCCTTCCTTCTGCATGTGTTGGGCTTATTTTGCTCTTTTCCCAGTTTCTTGAGGCAGTAACTTAGATTGGTGAACTGAGATCTTTCCTCTTTTCTAAGGTAATCATTTAGTTTTATCTATTTCCTACTAAGTAAAATTTTAGCTAAATCCCACAAAACTTCCTATGTTGCATATTTGTCTCCATTCAGTTCTATATTTTTAAATATCCTTTGAGACCTGCTCTTTGACCCATGGAATATTTATAAGTGTCTCATTTAATTTCCAAGTGTTTGGAGATTTTCCGGTTGTATTTATGTAATTGACTTCTACTTGATTGCACTGTGGCTGGATAACATATTCTGCATGATTTCAGTTCTGATAAATGTGCTAAAGTTTGTTTTATGGCCCAGGATATGTTCAGTCTTGGTGAGTGTTGACTGAAAAAAACGTTTATTCACTGTTGTTGGATGAAGTGTTTTTCTATGGAAATGAGATATTGTTGGTTGACTGTGTCATCCAGTTCTTCTATATCCTTTCGGATTTTCTGTCTAGTAGTTCTATTTGTCACTGAGGAGGTACTGAAGTCAACTATTAATATATTTATGGATTCATCTGCTTCACTTTTCGGTTCTATTATTAGTTTTTGCTTCTTACATTTTGAGGCTCTGCTGTTTGGTAGGTACACATTTAAGATCATTATGTTTTCCTGGTGGACTCACCTTTTACCATGATGTAATGTATCTCGTGACTCTAGTAATTTTATTTGCTGTGAAGTCTACATTATCTGATATGAATATAGCCACTTTTGATTTTTAAAATTATTGTGTGAATTATTATGTGCACGTGCCTCAGTTTCCTAGAGCTTCTGTAGCAAGGTATCACAAAGTAAGTGTCTTCAAACAACAATTCATTCACTTACAGTTCAAAGCCAAGGAGTCAACTAGGCCTGTTCCCTCTGAAGGCTCTAGAGAACTGTCCTTCCTTATGGCTCCAAACCCTTTGCTGCTCCAGGGGATCCTTGGCCTTCCTTGGCTAGTAGCTGTAACATTGCAATGTCCTTTGGCTTGTAGCTGCCTCGGTTTTCATACGGCCTGCTTCTCTGTGTCTATGTAGCCTGTCCTCTTCTTATAAGGACACTAGTCATTAGATTTGGGACCACCCCACTCCACTATAACCTCACCTTAACTAATTATATTTGCAAAGACCCCATTTCCGAATAAGGATACATTCTGAGGTTCTAGGTGGACATGAATTTTGGAGGGACATTATTCAACCCACTACAGCATGGGTTTCTCTTCTTTTAATTTCAACCTACTTATGTCATTATATATATACATATTATATATGTATATATTTGTGTATATATTATGTATACATATTATATATGTATATATTTGTATATATATTATATATACATATATGTGTATGTTTCTATACATATTATATATGTATATATGTATATATATTATATATACATATTATATATGTGTATATTATATATACATATTATATATGTATATATTATATACACACATATATAATATGTATATATTTGTATATACATGTATATTTGAAGTGAATTCCTCGTAGACAGCATAAAGTTGGTTTGTCTTTTGTTATCAATTTGGCCAATCTCTGTCTTTTATTTGTATTCTTTTTCTCCTCTCCTTCTAGGATGAGAATGCTAGGAATGCTGGATCTTTTACTGTCCCAAAGATCCCTGAGGCTTTATTTGCTTTTTTTCAGTCTATTTTGTTTCTATTAGTCTATCCTCAAGTTGACTGTCTTTCCTCTGTCATATTCATTCTGCTAATGAGCCTCTCCAGCTTGTTTCATATTCCACTTGTTGTATTTCTTAGTTCTGTAATTTCCATTTGGTGCATTTTACATATTGTATTCCTTTGCTAAGACTTTCTGGGTTTTTTTTTTTCCAGTTGTTTCAAGGATATTCATAATTGCTTGCTGGCACATCTTCATGATACCTGTTTTAAAATCCTTGTCAAATAATTCCAACATCTAATCCATCTCAGTTTCAGAGTCTGTTTCTGAGTCTCTTCTCATTCAAGTTGTGATTTTTCCTGCTTCTTGGTATGAAGAGTGATTTTTCAATTGTATTCTGGTATTTGGGCTATTATGTCAGGAGACCCTGGTCCAATTTAAATCTTCTGTTTTAACATGCAGCCACCCTGTGTAGGCTTAGCATAGAGGTTCTGACCTATGTTTGCATGCTGTGATTCCAATGATGGTTCAGTTTTCAGAATCTTTGTGGTGCTAATTTGAAAGGTTTGGTACACTTGCTGACCCAGGACTCTCACTGGTCCCTGCTGTATCGCCCACACAATAGTACAGCCCATATTTCTCCCCTCTACAGGTTCTGCCAGGTCAGCTGGTGTCTCCAGGTGGGAGAAGCGTTCTCTAGCCCATGGAATAGACAGCCTTTCCCTGAGTCAGGCCATTCCCCCCACAAGGGCCCCAAAGCCGCCTGGCTTCTTGGGTAGGAAAAGGGAGTCCCTCTGGCGGGTGGTGACGGAGAGCTCTTCATGCTGGGCCACTCATAAACTGAGTTTTAAAGATAATTAGGGTCTGAAAATTCTAAATAAAAGAGTTCATTTGAGGTGCTACGAGGCTCACCAATTCTACAGAAACATTTTTGTTTCAAGTGAGATTTCACTAAGATTGACAGCAAAACACAAGGAATAACATACTGCATAGCAATTATACCAGATATTTTATGGAAAAATGAGTACTCACTTGAATAAGATCTTCAATTCTTTTCAAATCACTTATTACATGCTGCCAGTTTGCTTCTGTTTTAGGAAGACCTGCACTGATACAACTGAAAGCAAAGCCAAAGAGCAAAGCATTTTGAATGAACATAATATTGTCTTGATGAATACTATAGGCAAAAGAGCAATCAAGACTTTTTTTAATCCAACAAGTGAAAAGATGAGTGCTATCCTTGCCTTTGTTTATTTGACAGCCTTGTAGATGAATATAAAAACTGAACATATAGTACAACTCTGATGCTTTAGGCTAGCCTGATGACCAACCTGCATTAAAGAAAAGCCTAATTTGAAGGGATGACTTATAAATAACCTGGTGCAATTTATCACAATGAAATAAAAACAATGCATGATGTGTGGCAGTGCTCAGTAATGTTTTTGAATGAATTATTATTTTTCTTTAAGTAGAGGTCCCATCAGACTTTTATGTCTAATAAATGGGTAAAATTCTTAAAATAAGCAATCATCTTTTTCATGTAATGATCTTGACAGTAAATATTCTTTACAATAGGTTAAACATGACCCTTGCATGCTCCTTGTAGCAGCTTTCTCCATAAATGTTATGGACTTGAGCCTAATCTAGTCATAAAACTAGATCATATAGCTTACTTATTGTTTGTAAAACAGTAACTTAATATCAGGACAAAAGACACATACACTGACCAAGTAACTGTAGAATAATTCTTAGAGCTTCAGGAAAAATAGTCTCTCCTTGATGGATCCTGTACAGAAGCATGAGAGGCAATACTATTTTTTTCTTTTGAGAGGAGGATTTACATGCACAAATCTATGGTGCCCCACAGCATGAAGGCATTATAGAGTAAAACTGAACTGAGAGATTACATAACTATAGGTTGGGTGAGTGCGGTGTATTAGTTGCATCTAACAGACAAGAAAAAAAGTTAATAGGCATGGAAAAATATGGAAGTTTATTAGGAAGAAAAATAAAAGGTCTCAATAAAGAAAGAAGTGTTTTAAACTGAACTAACATAAGGCTCAAATGATAGGAGAAGTCAGTGCCAGGGACAGATTAAAAAAGTAATGTGGGTGAGCCCTCAATATCTAATTTTTTTTACTGGTCTGAAAATCACACAGGATATTAATAAAGAGTGTACTTCCAATTTTAGTTAGATACCAAGAAGTCCAATTTATTTGCAGGATATAATACTCATTTGGAATATTACAAGAATATAGAAATGCTCTTTAGGCTGTTTACTAAACCTCCTCTGAATCTCCCATAATCTGTCCTCTATCATGCCCCAAATACTGAGTACCTAAGGATTTAAGCAAACTGAACATAAACCAATTTAACAGAGAAGATATTGAAGAACAATGATCATGGTTATTAACATGATGATTTTATGCTGAAAGATAAAATTACCCCAAAATGAAGACATGAATGCCAGCCTCAGTTAAAAAATGACTGTTCAGAAGTAAACACAAGTAGCACTGGATGGAAGTACTTCTCAAATATGGTTTCTGGAAAATATAATCATAGACAAAGTGGTTAAATTTTTTAGTTAAACTTTTTTAGTTAAAAATTTTTTAGTTAAAAAGGAAGAAAATTGGGTCATTTGTAGAGACGTGGATGGATCTAGAGACTGTCATAAGAGTGAAGTAAGTCAGAAAGAGAAAAACAAATATCGTATATTAACGCATATATGTGGAATCTAGAAAAATGGTACAGATGAACCAGTTTGCCAGGCAGAAGCAGAGACAAAAATGCAGACAAAAAAATGTATGGACACCAAGGCGGGGAAGGTGGCGGGGGGTGGTGGTGGTGGTGTTGTGATGAACTGGGAGATTGGGATTGACATATATACACTAATATGTATAAAATGGGTAACTAATAATAACCTGCTGTATAAAAAATTAATAAAATTGAAAAAAATGAGATTTAAAATATTTTTAAATTATCATATTTTTAGGTTCCAAAATGTAAATATATCAAGATTTCAGAATTCCTTATCAGAATGAAATTAGAATTTACTTTTTTTGCTTTCCTCCCTACCTTCAGCTCTGTCTCCTATGTGCAAAATTCTTCAATACATATTTTTCCAGATGCATTTCAATGACAATAATTTAAAGAAAATATACATATTTACTAATTTACATATATGCTAATATTACCGCTTAATTTGTTTCTATTATCCTTAACCTTCTTTTCATCCTTCTTTCCTAATATGTCCAACATATTTCATACAACACAAATTAGTAACATGAATTACTGACATAGGTGTACTAGTTATATATTAATTTCATGTGATGATGAAATTAAAAATTGATATCATTTGGAGAAAAATTGGATAGAAATGGAACCAACCAAAGATACTCTATACCACCCTGAGAGTCAATATATAATCATTTTTCTGGGTGATTTAGGAAAATCACTTATCTTAGAACTTCTCAGAGTTTCAATACCTCTGCCTGCCTCTTTAACATTGTCAAAACCTTTATAGTTTCAGACAGCAGTGTTGACTTAACCACTTAACCTCTCAGAATCTGTGCTTCATGTAGTCTACACTGAAGGGATGAATAACACCCAGACCTGTTAAAGACTGTACAACTTACTGAGTACATAGACACTTAAAGAACAAAACAGGGTGAGATAAGTGAAATAATACATTTACAACAACATGAAGGGCACATCAGGGTGTTAACAGACTTTAAAAACCTGTTTTACTTATTTTCAAAACAACAACAATCCACACGTGAACGTACCTCTGTGACTTCCCAAAATATTTAGAGAAGAGCCATGTAACTTATTATGAAGTATCTGAGATACAAGTGACCTTTTAAGAGAAGTCCACATACTATCTTCATCTAATTTTCCTTACCAAAATTCTCATTACTCAATGCCAGAGTAAATCCTTGAGTATTGAAGAAGAGCTGGCTAAGGCATTGGGTTTCCAGCAGCCATCCATCCAGAATACTTCCTACAACACAACCCAGAGTAAAGATGATCCATTAAAAACACAAGTGGACAAATGGGGGGAAAGGAAGGGAAGAGAATTAATATTTACTGAGCACCTACTTTTCCACGGGCACTCTATCAGTCACTTGATATGTGTATCACATTTAATCCTCAGAACAATCCTATGGTGTAGGGTCAGCAGCATTTGAGTGAGCTGCCCAGGTCCCACAGCAAGTACAAGGCTGCCGGGATTTGAGACCAGGTCTGTCTGATTACAGAGCCCAAGGCCTTTCCACTCTACTATGTTCCTGAATTGGTGAAATTCCAAAACCATATTAATGAAAAGCAGAAGCAGCCAAATATCTTATGTGTATAAGCTACTGACTGTTAATGTAATTTATAACAGAAGTAGCCACTTGTACAGACATGGAAGAGATGTCTTCAGTCTTTAAATCACCCTTAACTGAAACATCATTTGAGAATTTCATAAGTAACAAAATTTGTTTTCTTTAATTCGAAGTGGTGAAGAATGTGAAGATTACACACTCCCATATTCAATTCCATTTTATTAAAGAAAAATTTTAAACCAAAATATATAAAATATAAACAATTATTTTTGCCATCCTTCTAAAATAGTATGTACTTGTTGACCTCCCCTTCAAAAATCAAAATCCACCTCTCTTGACATAAACTTTCACTGAAAAATTAAGTTCTGTAGACTAAAATTATTTTATTTTTCAGATGCTTTTAAACTATAAAAATGATTATAATATATGATGTATAACTCTTTAAAAGAAAAACTAGGATTTAACTAGGTATTAAAGATACTGTAAGAATATATCCAATAAAAATGCCCTTTTTTCCACAGCTAAATATTAAGTCTAATCCTCCTGTTACATACAATCTAAACCACCCATTAATCAGTTTAATTAAAGCAACCTCTCTTTGTTACTCTCATCTTATAATCATTCTCTTTGTCTATGCTATCTCAGTACTCCAAATTTTTTGCTAAACTTTAAAATTATCTTTGTAATTTCACTCAGAGTCTCTTAAATTCCCTACCTCCTTTTTAGTTGCAGGATCCCCCCACTCCACATTGTTCAAAAAACAAGATTTACTGACTTGGGACCAAGCAGTACAAAGGGTGATATAATTGTTAATAGGCCTCATGAAGCTGCTTGTGTAAACAATGAGGATTTCAATCCTGGGCTTTTACATCAGTGAGTCTCCACAGGCGCAGGATGTTAAAATCTTATCAATGAGACTTTCACTGCACTGTCCAACTACAATTAGTCAAGGACAACTAAGAGCTTTAGCCAGAATGCTCCATGCCAAGCATGGTGGAATTAGTAGGAAATGGCCTCAAAGACTTCTAACAAATAACAATAATGGAAACCAGTGTTAACTGAAAGGAAATTTTTACAGCTTTGATTGTTATTTGGCAAAAAAACTGACGTGGTTTTCTGGGCTGACAGCAAAGACTGATTTTTCATAACAGCTTTGGAAGCTTTCAACCTTCTACACTTACTGTATGTAGTTCTGTGGATCAAAAACTTTACTAGGAATGTGTGTGTGTAATCCATGTGCGTGAAGAAGACCTGAAAAGGTAAAATACTCTATAACTTTCTCTTTGACCAGGACTCAATGTTAACATTTAATATAATATCATTAATGATGGCAATATTAATTAGAATAAGTATTATTTACCGAGTGCTTTTAGGTTTACAAAATTATCTCACATACATTACCACATTCCATCCTGGCAATATCTTTATGTGAGAGATATTACTCTTATTTTACAGTGAAGAAATTGAGGTTCTGAGACATTAAGTGACTTGCTTCAGGTAAATGTCATATGTGTCGCTATCAGAATTCTGCCTCAAAGTCCAGGTTGCACAGGCGGAGGAGAGATGCAAGAATATTACAAACTCTATGGTTGAGAAGTGGAGGCCCCTTACTATAGGAAACATCTGACCCATCCCGTGTGAATCATAAAAAGCCACTGCTCTCTGATAGTTTAAAAACAGGTCTTTCACTTGTGGTTGCCAAGGGGAAGGGCAGCTAGGGGAGGGATGGAGTGGGAGTTTGGGGTTAGTAGATGCAAAATATTCTACATAGAATGGATAAACAACAAGGTCTTACTGTAAAGCACAGGGAACTATATTCAATATCCTGAGATAAACCATAATGAAAAGGAATATAAAAAAGAATGTGTATATATATATATATATATATATATATATATATATATAACTGAGTTACTTTGCTGTGCAGCAGAAATTAACATGATGCTGTAAATTAACTATACTTTAAAAAAAACAGGTGTTTCAAACTGTTCTGACATGAAACAGAACTTGAGTCCTTTCACATACATCATCTCATTTGACTCCCACAAAATACCTGTTAGAGACAAGTGGCTGAAACCAGGTTAATTATTCTGAGAAGTGTAGGAATGAAATAAATTGTCCACTTCCTTTTATGTCACATTTTTGAAGAATTATGGAAGCAGTGTTTAACCCTACCATACAATTTGCATATGGTCATGAAAGGCCCTTACCATCAGCATCTTTGGTTTTGTCCTTCATTCACCTGGTACCTAGATCCAGGAATAAAAAAGACCAAATCCCAACCCTACCCTCAAGGAGCTCTCAGAGTTTAAACAGGACTTTTTTGACTCCTGTGACTGGGTCTCACTGCAGGGTACCCACTGATCTTGTGGCAGTACTGTTATCTTAGCCTGACGTCACTGCCCAAGAGTAAGAGGATAATCCACACAGTGGAGTGGCAGCTTTAATTCTGGAATGACTTGTGAAAATAAGTGTAAACGTTATATTCTATACCAATAGTAGAGTTTTTCACAGTGAGGAAATACAATCTAGCACACCGCCGTTTTATTTATTCTGTTTAATTATTTATTTGCCTAGTCACACATTTAAAATAAACTTAAATAGACTTAGCAAGGAAAGAAGAGATAGAAGTATTGGTTTATTTGGTAAACATATGTATCTAATCACTCAAAAAAACTAAAATTGAGGGCAAGTCAAGGTTGATTGCTTATGTGGAATATAAAGAATGTAAGATAGCATGGCTGTCCTTGATCCAATATATTTATTGAGTACTCACTATGTGCTAAGCATTTCTGTATGACCTTGGAGTACATCAGTGAATGTGGGAGACAAAGAACCTTGGTTTCTGGGAGAAAGACAGACCATATATAGTATACATAAATAAATTGATTATATACTTCATTAGAAAGTGGTTAAATGATATAGGAAAAAGCAAACAGAATAAAGTAAAAAGGATGAGCTTGCAACTTTAAGAAGGGTAGTCAGGGCAGGGTTCAGTGAAGATGAAATTAGATCAAAGACTTAAAAGCAAAGAGGGCATGAGCTTCAAGGACATCTGAACGAAGAACATTCGAAGCAGAGGATATAGCTGGAGCAAAGCCCCAAAGGCAGCTGCACACCTATGAGTTTGAGGATCAGAAAAGACACCAGTGGAGTGAGCGAGGCAGAGAGCAGTCTGAGGTGAGGTCAGAAAGGTAGGGGGAAATGGGGATAAGGTCAGGCCCTTGCAGGCACTGTAAGAATCTGAAGTGAGAAACCACTGCAGCATTTTGAGCAGATAATTGATGTCATCTGAGTGACCTTTGTAAGAATCCTTCTTGGCTCCTGTGTAAGGATAGGATGTAGGGGTGGGCAAGTATGGAAGCAGGGAATCATGTGGCTCTAAGAATTTAAGTGAGAGATGGTGATGTTGAACAAGGCGGGTGGCAGTGGAGAGGGTCATATGGTTAGAATCTGGAAACACTTTTATGACAGAACCAAAAGGATTTCCTGATGGACTGGTTGTGAGCGAAACGAGAAAGAATTACTCAAGTCTTTTACCCTGAGCACCTGAGAAATGGAACTGCCATCAACTGAAACAGGGCAGGCTATGAGTGGAGCAGATATTTTGAAGGGAGGGGGCCGATCAAGAGTTTTAGTGTTGGATATGTTGAGCTTGAGAGGTCCACTAGATACACACACGGAAATGTCAAATAGGCAGTAGGAGACGTAAATCTTGAGCTCAGGAAAGTGGCTGGGCCTGAAATAGGTACGGAATTCATGACACTGGTTGGGATGACCAAGAGAAAGTTAGAGAAAAGGCTAAAAAAAGGACCAAAGACTGAGCCAGGGTAATTAGTCAGGGAGAAAAAAAAAAGAGAGAGTCATAAAGAAAAACCCAAATGACAGACAAGTGAGAAAAGGAGAAATGAAGAGAGTGTGATGTTCTAGAAATCAAGTGAGAAAAGTATATCCAGGAAAAGGAAATGATGATCATGTCAGATGCACTGATGGGTCAGGGAAGACACAGACTGAACGCTGACCAGTGGGCTTAGCAACGTGGAGGTCATGGGTGACTCTGAAAAGAGCACTTAGAGGGCGGTAATGGAGGCAGAAGCCTACCTGAAATGGGTAGCAGAGAAAGTGAGAGGAAAGGATTGTAAATTGCTAGTGCTGGACAATGTTTCGAAGAATACCACTCCAAAAGGTGATAATAGATGGTAGAAAGTGAGGGAAATAACAGCACATTTGTATGCTGAGGGAAAAACTGAAGATGCAAGAGAGAAGAACAATTGCCAGAGTGATGTTCTTGAATAGGCAAGTTGAGGATGAGGATGATATCTGTGATATTGTGATTTAAATAAAAGTCATATAAAATAAATATCTGGTCTTCGTCCTCATTTCTGGCCCATAGCTCCTAAAACCCTAGGAATTTCCTAGTGACACGGGTGATCAAGTCTTTGAGAGTGATGAAAGTCTTTTATTATGATAATAAGGTAACTTTTGGACTCCACCCAAGGATGTGGACTGGTTGTTGGGAAAACCAACTGTGTGATTAGAGGGTCAACTGTGTGATTAGAGGGTTGGAACTTTCAGTCCTATTTCTGTCCCCCACCTTGGGAGCGGAGAGAGGAACTGGAGGTTGAGTTCAATCACCAGTGATCAATGATTTAATCAATCATGCCTATGTAATGAAACCTCCA